TTCTGGAAAAATGATAAACAATTTATGTTTATTTGCGCTCGTACTTGATATTTTAATTGTGTTTTATACTTAATGTAAAAGATATATATTAACTTAGAATTACATCATCATTATGTTGCTCAATTTTTGTCATTATAGCAATTAATATAACAGATAAAGATTTGTCACTGAAAATGAGCAAAATGTAATTCTTTCATCGATGCGGAATTATTACAGTGTAAATATGCAATAAGATTTTATAACTGAACTTTCAATAAAGTTAATGCACAGTACAATAAATTCTTGTATCTTATATTAACCCTTTTACTTGATAAATAAATGTTTTTATTCACATACTATTTGATTTCTTTTTAATATTCTATTTACAGGCAATAATCGCATAATATCGATTGATATTGTCAACTGAATGTGCGATTTTCGAACGATACGAGATATCGAGATTCAAGTTTGACAAGATGTCCGAAAATTGAAGGATACTAATAAAAATTTTAAATTGGTTATAGATTCGATATTGTTTATTAATTCTGTATCATTCTTTTTACTGTCGAATTCTTAAATTAATTCGAAATCGAGTTTGGTAAGTCTAATTAAAGTTGTCCATATTATTTAAAAAACAAGAAAGGAAATAAATTGTAGAACATTCTAATGCAAAGTTACGTGTAGAATTGAATCATGCGTAGTGTTGTTTATTTTATATATTGACTACTTCGACCTATTTTTATCGCTGATTAATTGAATTCTAATTACTACAAGAAATATAGACTTATTCAGTCATCGAGGTTACTTTACTTTTTCAATCATATTTTCGTTAATGTAAGTTGCGAACATATGTAATCTTAATAAACGTATAAATTAGAAAATTAATGGATTTAATTATTTCAGGGTACAGTGTATTTTTTAAACTTAAGCTGAAACCGTTTTTCTTTCCTCAATGAAACCTGTTCTGTCATGTCTTATACTGAATTGGAACATGGTTATCAGGTAAATTATATATTTCTGTAAAACAACTAACATTGTTATTATCTTGCACAGTTGTATTATAGTTCTTTATATTTATTATGATTATTTTATAATATGAGTCACTCTTGTAATTTCTAGTCATTAATAAAAACAAATGTAAAAAAATTTTTTAGAAAAAAACTAAAAAAAGAAATTTAAAAAAACTTTTGATGACATTAGTATTATCTTCATTATATGATAATCAATTTATAGGGTCTACGGAGTGCAAGTCGACCAATTTTCTATGTAGGGGATTTAAATAGTGTACAACCAACCCTTGTGGGTCCTGTAGCTTCTTCTATATATCACTCATCAAAAAGAGTAAGTTGTATTTTTCTTTGTGCAATGTATAGCATAATCTACATGGAATAGCTGTTAAAGTAATAGTTTTAAATTACATAAACTTATTATTGCTGAAAAATTGAAAATTTTATCAACAATAAAGTAGAGATCCCTTTTACATTTTAAATTACATTAATTTTTGGAAATGATTACATAATAGTGAATTTTTATTAAATTTATTTAATTCTTGTAAGTAATGTAATGAAAGTAGACCATGAAAAAACAACATTTTCGATGATTTATCAGAAACAGATATTTAAAAAAAATTGTTTGCATGCAAATTGGAAGTATCTGTACAATTTTTCAGTTTTGTTATATTCAAAGCTTATTGCATGAAAACCTGTTTTATGTTGAGTTAACAAACACAATTTAATAAAGGTTAGAAAATTGTTTCATTAAAAAACTCATTATTTTAAACATATGTACACATTATATGTACATATTTCAC